ATACATAGTAAATAAAACTATGTATAAAAAGGGATGTATCTCTGATTAATTGTGCAAACAACGTTAGTTGTCTGTAGACGTCTGTAGATCACGCGTGGCCATATCTAGGCTCAATGAAGGTCTAACTTAGGGCATGCCTAATTCAGGCAGACTCAAGGCACAATTAATTAGAGTCGGGTTTTCAATGGTAGTTTAAACTTAGATTTCAACTTAAACTCTGTTAAAACAAACGCATTGTTAAAATAGAGTTTAAACTTGAATCCAAGTTTAAATTGCTATTGAAAAACCGACCCTTAGTCGAGTAATATTTCTTTGACAACGCGCCAAAATGAATGCGTCGAGTATTTCTGTGCATTCATTTTGACTGTTCTATTGAATCTGGAGTGAAATGATTCATCAAAGTTTCAGCGACGGTTACAAATCAATGCTAGTCGCCCTTCAGATTGCGAAATCATACTAAAAGATGCGAGAAACTGTTCAGTCCTTGCTGGTGTGACCAAACACAGGGCCCATCACTCACAGAATTCACTTTAGCGCAACTGTCAAACAAAGACTGATTGACGGATCACTCTATACTGTTGTATTTAACTTAACTGACTTTGAAATATGGTAATAAAGATTTGGCCAAATTCGCGCTATTTCTTTCTCTGCATCAAGTGTCACGAATGTTTGCAACAACCCACGTATCGGCGTGCTCGCGGGGAAGAGCCACGCGAATAACGGAGAGGGTGAGAGAGGGAATGCGAGCGGAGATGAATTTGCCTGCGCGCCTCGTTAATTTTTCGCCCCGTGTCGCTGCATTGTTCGCTCGCGAAAAGGATGTTTATCGCCCGCAGCTTGAGAAGACGAGCGAACTATCTTTCTCCGTGCGTGTTTGCGCGGATGCACCGAGAAAGTGCACGAGGGTGATGAGTGAGCGTGTACGCGAACCGGAACCCCTCTATCCTTGTTTTAATGATTTCGATCTAACGAGCGGCCGTCTGAGTTGCGCGCGGGTCTCGTGAAGAGACACACGAGAGACGAACGCGGCGTGACGCACAGCAGTTCGTTAGAAAATCGAAAGGGTGGCGCGAACTAAAGCTACGCGATTCCGCAACGCCTATGTACGATTTGTACGAATTGTTGGGAAATTCCGATATTCTTTGAAGTCCAGTTTTTTGATTGAACCATTGCGCGCCACTCCGCGCTGCAAGCTGCAGTTCCTGTCTATCGCATTTTTATCGATGGATAAAAAAATCGCACGTAGGGGAACATGAAACGGCAATTACAGTTAAACGTGCGAATCAAATTACGCGTGAGTCTATAAAAAAAAAAAAGAGAGAGAAAGAAATAAAACCGTACTTTCCGCAGATAAACGGGAAAAGAATTTGTTTTTATTTGTTTCCTTTTTGCGAGTATCTTTCGTTTCTCCACGACGTTCCAAGGAAGATCGTTCTCTCAGACGTTAGAGACCGTGTTTCGCCGTGCAATCGGTATCGGAGCTCGAAGCGAGTAATGAAGTTTTCTTTGCCAGTAGGTCGATTGAAACGACCGGCATATTCTCGTATTTTCGTTCTCGTTCACGGGAAAGAACGGAGGAGAGAGAGAAGGAGGGCAAGTCACCCGATCGCGGATCAGCGAGCAATCATACTTGAATAGACGCCAACACGAGGCCGGGGTGCGTATCCGCGCGTGCAAGCGCGGGGGTGCGCGTTGATTTGAGATCATTGTACCGTGCCCGGTCGACAATCGAACCCCGACGAGTCTCGAATTTCGTATGCGATCGCACGAATTTCCCTTTCGAGCGTATCGATGATAGGCGCGTATACGCCAGGATCAGGTGGAAGAGACCGGCCTACTCTATCTCGCGGATGAAAAAGAGAAGGTTAAGGTAAAAGTGCCACTACCTGGATACTGACGACACTTCATATTGTGCTTTGGTCTTCAAACGTGAATATTTAGACTTTCAATATAGAACAGATATACAGGATGTCCCAGCAATTTCACAATATCTCGTAAAGACGTAAAGTGGATTGAAGTGAGCAAAAATGTCCGTTTTGCGAAAATCGTAATAATAATCGAGACATTAATTGTAGAAGATTCGTGTAAATAATCACGCATGATAACTGAGAGAAAAATCTCTCTATTATTTTGCAAATAACTACAACTTTTAATATTAATATCAACTAATACGATTTTAATATTAAATTTTAATATCAATATAACTAGACTTTTAATTATTAATACAAGAAAATTGCTTGGTTTTGCGCGATAGTGCAACAATCTCCTTTAATTGATTATTAAAAATCTACTTGCAGTTGTATTTGCAAAATGGTAGAGGACTTTTTTGTTCGGCCTAATATACAAGAAGCACGTCGTCATTCCAGTTCATCTGCCATATCGAGCGTCATCATTTACAAGCCTTCTTCAATTAATATCTCGATAGTTATTGCAAATGTCGCAAAACGATGCAGAAGTTTTGTGCTCACCCCAATCCGCTCTTAAGAGAAATTATCAAGTCGAAGTAGGACATCCTGTACATACATCTATATATACACACAAAGAGAATGTCTGTCTGTACGTCTTCCTATTAACTCCCAAACCCTTTGACCAAATCTTGCATAGTTCTACTCTCGGAATCCCGCAGAAAATATAAGCTACATGAAACTTCGACATCCCTCTCGCTGATTTCATCCCCTTGATGCTTCATGATCATTTAAGTTTAGATGTTCTATATAAGAAGCTCGGACGACGCCGGGCAGTTGAAACTAGTTGAATATATACGTACAAGATGTCTGACACAAAGTATCTTACACTTCGTATACATGTAGTAGATTAACTGAACACGAAATTTGTGTTCAGTTTGACCCAATCTACATGTGCGCGAGATATGGAACACTTTGCGACAGATACTTTGTGCGCTCTACGTTGAAAGTTCAAATATTTGTTTGAAAAACCGAAACGACAAGAACGCCTAGAGTATGTCCAGGCACCGGTATTTTCATCTCATTTCGACCGGAAGAAATAAGAGGACCATCGTAGACGGTCAATGGAGAAACGCGTTTCAAATGCATTTGCAAATTGAACTTTCAAATTCCACGCAGTCGTATCGAACTGGTCCATCCGCGTGTACGGATGTCCGATCGCGAGGGCTGATAATTCCGCGTCAAAGGAGCCCTTCGTGAGATATCTATCGCTAAGAAATGTTCCAGAGGGACGCACGCGATGAAGTCCGAGAAGTGTACGGGACTTTTGCGTCGCAAGCTACGCTTCGCGAAAACCTGATTCGGAGATTCGTTGTGGCTTTCTAGGTCGCGCGAATCTACTTAAGGGACACAGAGATAAAAATTGATTTCACACGAAACCACATCGATATGTTGCTGCAAATAATAGCAGATTGAGTGTGCACACGCGAGGACACATGCTCTGCGTATCAATCGTATAATTCTTCTTTATATCCCTTATTGTTAAGCCACGCTTCGAAACAAAGAAAAAAAAAAGGGAAAAACGAGGCTCTCTTGCCTATTTATATATCGATCCCCGCGTGCGATTCATCCGCACACATTTCCCGTATTGTTTTTTTCACAATGGTATTTATTGAATATCTTTAAAAGCTAGTACAACGCATTCAAAAAAATACCGCAGATATATTTCATTTAGACACTACGATGCTCTCGTAATACAAACAACGCGCGCAACGTGAATCCATCAAACGCGCTATCGCCATAATTCAACCCGTGTATTTCGACCGTATCTCTGAGTTATTTCATGTTCCGTGTGGTCCGTAATAAAAAAAAAAAAAAAAAAAAAAAAAAAAAAAAAAAAAAAAAAAAAAAAAAAAAAAAAAAAAAAAAAAAAAAAAAAAAAAAAAAAAAAAAAAAAAAAAAAAAAAAAAAAAAAAAAAAAAAAAAAAAAAAAAAAAAAAAAAAAAAAAAAAAAAAAAAAAAAAAAAAAAAAGAAAAATACAAAAGGGCATATAAAAAACTAAAAGCAAACGGATAAATTGTAACCGTTGTAAAACTGGTTACTCTATATATATTTTAAAGCCCACGAAGACCACGTATAGCTCGCGTTCTTCGTATTCTGGGCGTTGTTTGGCAAAAAAACCGCGCGCGCTTCACGCTATATAATATAAATATTATTATCGCGTATACACACCTACATGCTTCTCTTTAAGCGCGACCATCGAAACATTTTCAAATTCAAAATTCGCCGAGCGGTTCGTTCGGCAAAACGTTTTTTTTTTTCATATTTACCTTTTTTCATCGAAACGCGTCGCGAAAACGGGACTATAAACAACAAAGCTATTATTCGGCTATGGATCTCGCCTGTCGGTCGATTATCGCCGATACTGCGTCGAAAACGAAAAACAAACAGAGAGCGAAAAAGAAACGAGAGCGAGACGTTTTCGGAAACGTTGTTGCAGTTTGAAGCTTGCACGTGATGTGTATCGCAAATTAATCTTCCGCGTCCGTTCGGCCGGAATTAATGGCGCGGGATTAATTAAATACGGAAGACTGAAGAATTCGATAAACACAACGTATTATTCAACGCACCCGTATCACGCGCCTATGTGCCTCTCGCCGTAACCGATAATCCGTTACAAACGTTTGAATCATGATCGAGATAGCTGATTGAGCGCGATGGATGCAAGAGTGCGAGGGAATCGACGTGTGCGGGAAAGGCCCATAAATGTCAGGAATAAAAATCCCGGTCTGTTGCGCTTGCCTCGCGAGAGGCATATTTATCTTATTCCGGGGGGGAGAGAGAGAACTCGCCCCGGAGAGAAGTATTCCGCCCGTGCAATTCGTGCATCATCTCAAACTTGTCAGAAATGACACGCGACCTTAGCGGAGCCTCCTCCGAACGTACACACGTAACTTCCCCGACATTTACGGACTATTTTACGAGTCTTGGCGCGTCACCATTATCGTCACGAGCGACGCGCGTTCGTCTCTCGTGTCGGCGTGAGAATTCTCGATCAAATCGATCGAGCGAATGATAACAAGGCAGAGACTCACCATTATTAATCGCTGCCAAAGCGACGGCGCCGAGTAACCATGCGACGACGCTGACGGCGGACATCTTCGTTTCCCCTGGTCGCGGCCCTCTCCTCACATAATAATACGTGCCTGCCGTGCGTTAGAACGAGCTGTAAGCAAGAAGACGCATTACATTATAAACCGCGCGCACACGTTGTCGCGAGATATTATAAGTTTGCTCGCGTTTATCTTACAAAGGCGGCGAGAAGAAGGTACTCTCGTAGTAAACGCGCCCAGGCCGGGAAACAGCGGCGCCGGAAGCCGCGGAAACGATTGTGTTAGCGTCGCAATTTGTTACGCGTAATCTTGCGCGCCTCCCTCCGAGCGCGTTCACGATAACAGCTGGATAATGCCGCCGCGCGACGATAATTACTCGATCGCGCACCCCGCGAACCTTGTTTCACGAAAGTACATCTCAATATGCAAAGCTCTGCGATGAATTTCCTCCGATTGCAGGGCTGCATTTAGTCACGGGGCCAAAAAATGTAGTGACTACTTCTTGGCAAAAAAGATGACAAAAATAACCTCTCAGATATCAAACCAGCGATCAAAAATGACATTTTTCGTTAAATTTTGGATGTAACTAACAAGTAAACCTACTCACAAGTTACACTCCGATTTCTTTCTAATTTGGCACAAATGTAGAAATATTTAGAAAAATATTTAGATCATATTTTTACAATTTGGCCTACTTTGAGTTTCGTAGAAACGTACAATTCATAGCTTTTTCATTTTCTCACTCCTATCGTCAACAAGTGCAACAAAAATGCATAAATGCAAGAAATAAAATTGAATACAAGGTATAGGCGTTTTTGGTTTGGTGATTATGAATATGAAGTCAAATATATAAAATTATTTGTATAAATAATAAAATGTTTAAACAAAACATGTAAAAAGTCGAAAAAAATCATTCATACAAATAATTTCTCGGTTTAGTCGAGATTCTAACCATTTTTTACTAATTTAGCACAGATTTGAAATATTTCGAATATTTCGAAATATTTGGAATCTCGAAAGAAATTTAGAATGATTCATGTCTCAGATATGCCGATTTTGTTAAAATTATTTAATTATATATCTTGTATTCAATTTTATTTTTTATGCATTTCTGTTACACTTGTTAATGATAGGAGTGAGAACATTAAAAAGCTATAAACTGCTTGTGAAACTCAAAGTGGGTCAAAATGAAAAATATGACCTAAATATTTGTACTTCTACATTTGTGCCAAATTAGAAAGAAATCGGAATCTTTTGGATAGGTTTACTTGTGAGACCACTTAACAACAAATAAGGAAACTTAACATATAAACAAGAAAATAACACTCTTATCTTCTCGAAATTATCTCTGCATAAATTTTTTGGGCCAAATTGCATTAAACATCTTGATATTAAGATTTTTCCAAATGTAACTTTGATTTGATGTAATTTGTGATTGCGTTGTTTTTGAAAAGATAAAAAACTTATATATATATTTATCTATTGATATCTATTTCACTTTTGTTTTGCACTTAATGATTATCTCAACTAGTGTAACAACGCGGTTGTTGAGCAAGTACACAGAAATTTTTTACGTTTTATGAGCTTTTTCATTGATGAATTATTATTTGGTTTTTTAGTTTTTAAGTACTTTTCTTAATTTTTAATTTTAAATTAAAATGAAAATTATATATTTAAAAAAATTATAGCTGCTGAGGGAAAAGGTGATTATATTGACTCATTTTAGCCAACAGTCCGTTTTTTAATGACTTGTTAATAAAAAGTGACAAAGGAAACTTAAGTGACTGAATGGCAGCCCTATGATTGCTTTGGCACGTTTCGTAGCGCGCACCATTTTGTAATAACGGAAATAAGAGGCACTTGTTCTTTGCAAGAACTTTAGAGTTATGTGTGCCACGAGATATGTGTGCCAAGTCAGAAGTCAATCGGACAATTGGTTCTCGAGATATCTTGTACATCATCAGTGCGCATTTCAACAAAGGAGCTTCGTCAGATAGGAGAGATCGGGGTTAGTTGACTACCGGAGTAAGTTGGTAAAATCGATTATTTCTGCTATTTTCTGACAAGTTATATAATTAAGAAAGCAAGGTTTTTAAACGCGTCGAAAATGGCTTTGAACTCCCTGCTTGCTTGGTTTTAAAATCTGCTAAATAAATCTGTTAAATAATAGAAATCATCAATTTTTCCAGCCTTCCCTATTCTACAACTCGGCTATTTTTAATGTTTTCAAAGTATTTTCGCGAAAAATCGTGAATAAAGAAAATGTTTCATAATAGCTGCGTTGGAAAAAGTTTGTGATTTCAATATTTCACAATAGCATGATTCCTTTTTTATACTGAGAGAAAATATATATATATATATATATATATATATATATATATATATAATATATAATATATATTAAATATTTAATATAAATATATTAAATATTTATATATACTGAGAGAAAATATTAATCTTGGTGAATGTGCTGATAACATAATTGCTTACATAAAATATTTTTCAAATGAGAAAATATATATTGAAGAAAAACCTCGAAAACTTGGCTTCTCGTGAAAATAATTGATTGTTCTATTTAAATAAAAAATAAAAAAACTTAGATTTCAGGAAATATGTTACTAGTGTCCATCAAAAAAATATTTTTTACTTTCTGGAAATACTTTCCAGTACAATTGTGAGATGTTCTAATTTTCATTCCAAATTAAATCCACTTCTTCTTCAATTGAGATATAAGTGACATTTAAAAAGATATTTATATAAAAAGTTTACCCTTTTCTATTTTTTTTCAATGATCGATATCTCCCGCTCGAATTGTAAACGCGTGAACGGTTTTTTCGAGATATAATGTTTTGTTTCTCTCATCGATAATATAAAATCTAATAAATCCTCGAATAAAATATTCATTTCCCCCGCCTTCTACACGAGAACGGAAGAACGATTGATATTCATGTCGCGGTTTCTCGCCGCGGGAATAGATACATGCTCATTGCGATTGATTGTTACAGCGGCTGTAACAGTGATTGCTACATTGCTCGCTGTACACATCGTCATGCTAATCTTTTTGTCGAAGGAAAGCTCATTCCGGGAGAAAAATAGCAGGTGGAAAGCGCGCGGCTCTGCAGCTAACGATCGAGGGTTTTTCACCGCATACGTGACACGCTAGCGCGGCGCGGGTTGACGTGAAGAGAGTTTGCAACGACGATTCTACTTATTCATACCGGGAACAATTTCATCGTTTTAACGCGATCGATCTCGTATTCGCAGCAAAGGGGAAGAGAGGGCAAGGGGAAG